AGCATGATCCGTGTCTCACACGCTAACCATTGATCACTGTGTCTCTACAGGGCAGAGAAGACAGAAGTGCTGAGTGAAGATCTGCAGCAGGTCTGTGTGTGTGTGTGTGTGTGTGTGTGTGTGAGCGTGCGTGCGTGTTAGTGTGTGAGTGTGTGAGTGTGTATGTGCGTGAGTGTGTGTGTGTGTGTGTGTGTGTGTGTGTGTGTGTGTGTGTGTGAGCGTGCGTGCGTGCGTGTGTGTGTGTGTGTGTGTGTGAGAGAGTGTGTGTGTGTGTGTGTGTGTGTGTGATGAAGGGCACTTAATTACAGTGTTTTTCATAAATGTGAAGTGAAATTAGTCTTACACAATAGAAAAATTCCCACAAATCATCCTCAGGGGCTTTGATTTTTACATATTGGCACGCGTTGGTCACACTTTATATTAAGTGCTTAGTTTTTGGATCATTTAATTCATAATTTGCTATGCAAATGTTATAAAGAGCTGATGTCAGTGGTTTGATTTATGCCTGTATATTTTTAGAAATGTTAATATATTTTCTGTTTTACAACTGTGCAATTACTACTTCATTACTATGTTATTACTACATATATGTAACAAAGGACAAATGGGACAACTTAATATAAAGTGTTACCTTGAAAAGAATCTTAAAATGCTCTGAAATTAAACGTATGTGATTCTTCAAACAAATCTGTGTGTCTGCTTTGACATAGTAGCTAGAGATAGAAGACAATATGAACACAAAAGACAGAATTGTTCAAAAAAGAAAATGGGTTTCAATCTGTGCAAGCGTATGTTTTGACTCATTGTGCTGTAGCTTGTTGGGTGAATCTCGAAAAATGTTAAGAGTCATATTTCACCTCAAAATCAGATGAAACAAGACAAGTTAGAATTTGAAAATATAATTTATAAAATAAAATATTTATAAAAACCATTTATAAAATATATGAATTATATTTTGCATAAAGAAAATTAAATTAAATTAAAATAATAAAAAATAATGTGTATTTATACTTGCTAGCTTTTGTTTTTATATAATGCGCCCAGACAGGCTGAATTTTATTATTGTACAATAATAATGAGAATGTAATGAGAATAACTATTGAGAAAAAAGAAAATCCTTTTAGTAATGATAATTTTGGGGTAAAATGTGTTAAAAACTCCTAATGGTCCTAAAATATGGTCATTTTCTTAATGCAAAATATAATTTCTTATTTTTACCATGGATTTTGTGTGATGTATGAGCCAGACTTGACATGCTTCATGAGATTCGCCTAACAATTATTAATCCAGTTTTTTATTAATAATTATGTGGACGTGTTCAATAAAAAACAATTCGTAATAAATTACGTCAAATAGCTGCTTGATTTTTTTTATGTATATATAAAAATACTCCATCATGTTTCTATGATCTTTTTTTGGGGGGGGGGGATTAAATGATAATGGGGCCACATAATGGTCCATTTGGATTGAGATAACTCTTATATATATATTTTTTTTTTTTCATTGGATATAGACATTTAAATGAATTATTTTACTCCTCAGGATACAGTAATGGACCATCAGCTGTCAGTCTGACGGCTCGACAGTATGAATAAACCACTGGTGTGCTGTTGGTTACTATCATGGCAATTATACGTTTTTCTTTATTTTTTCATAATTTTTCTTGTTCTTTTTCACCCACACACATCATTAGGAATCGAAAAATAAAAGTCCCTGAAATCCTGACCAGAGAACACAGGAAAGGAAAGCACTGTCAAGCAAAGGCACGAGCAATAATGTGCTGTCACACGCTGTGTAGTGAACAGAAGCATGACAGAAGTGTATTTGAGAGAAAGATGAACAAATGTCACTGGGAGGCTTCGGATCTTAGTCGGGGGGTCTGGATCTTTGTGGAAGATCCCTCATTTTCACAGCAAACTCTGCGCCGCTTCTGCTTTGGCGATTAGTTCGTATGTTTGGCAGAGACGACTGAGATGCTTTCTCTGTTTCTGGGTCTGTGTTCATGTCGACGGCAGATGGAGCTTCTCTCTGTGTCAGCGACTCAAGTGAAATGCGGCATACGACTGCAGCTTCTGCAACGCAAAGGAATGCATGTAAGATTTCTGCTGAATAAGCAACTCATTATGTTATTTATTATATTTTGGTACCACTTTCCATGAATAGGGTACAAAAGATGGCTTGACAGTTCCACCACCAGAGGACCAGTGAATTTAATCATCAAGTCCAGGAGAACAAACCTAATATTATATGAGCTTTTTTTTGGGTCACACTTTAGTTTGGGGACCAGTTCTCATTATTCACTATTAACTGCGACTTTTGCTCCAATAAACTCCTAATTTGTTGCTTGTTAATAGTAAGGTAGTTGTTTAGTTTAAAATATGGTCATGCAGAATAAGGCATTAATATGTGCTTTGTAAGTGCTAATTAACAACCAATATGCTAGTATGCTAGCAATATGCTAATAAACAACTAGTTATTAGTGACAATTGGTGCCTACACCAAAAAAGTGTTACCAAAATGTGCTAATGTTGCCACCATGTTACCAAAATGTTAATGCTGCAGTCATGTTACCAAAATTTGCTAATGTTGAAACCATGTTACCAAAATTTTCTAATGTTCCATGTTAAAGGGGTGGTTCACTGTTTTTTTTCTAGGCTTGATTGTGTTTATGGGGTGCAGTCTAACATATGTTAATGCTTCGTTTAAAAATATATATATTTTTCACATACTTTTACCTTTATTCCACACCACTCTGTCCCTTCTCTGAGAAACGGGCTGATCTTTTCCTGTTTTTTTGAAGCCCCTCCCTCAGAAATAGGCGATGGGCTCTGATTGGTTAGCTAGCCCAGTGTGTTGTGATTGGCTAAACCGCCT